CTGTGTCACACCTAGGACTAAGGATAAGGTATAAACGGACCTTAGAATAGCCGGAGAGCTATTGGATTAACCCCTGCTACTCCGCTACAATTGGTGGCAAGCGACAGGATTCAAACCTCACAGCAGACCGTTGTTCGGCAGATAGAGCCATTCGTGGAAATCTTCTATTCGTATGGAACCGAAGGGAAAGGGTATGTGAATATACTCTAATGGATAGTGAATGGGGACAGATTATACACGCTTGAAACGGACCACACTAAAAGAACTACTGGAAGCAAGGGGAATTATTGCTAGCAATAAAGCCAAAGCTACCCTTATTGCCGAACTCATGGAGGGAGACCGGGCAGCTGCTGCAGCACCTCTTATGGACAGCACACAGACAGAGTTTGAAAGAGAACTCCAAAGCAGACTGGCCTTTTTCCCAGGAACACCTCCCATGGAAACAGTGGAAAGGATTATGGCAGATGTAAAGCAGCAAGCAGACCGGAGGTCCAGAGAGGGGTCCCCAACCACACCGCGCATAGCTCCAGGGAAGCCTTAAATTCCTTACCACGCTTTTAAAAATTATGTGGAAACAGAGGACATCGATGGCTACTTGCATGACTTCGAGAGGTTATGCCAATTACATGATATTAACGTTACTGACCAGGTACCCATGCTGGTGGGCAAACTAGCGAGCCAGGCAGCAGAAGCCTACCGCACAATGCCAGACGAGGACAGCAGGGACTACCAGAAAGTGAAGCAGGCGATTCTAACGAGGTATGCCATCACCCCAGAGGCATACCGGCAGCGGTTCAGAGAAAGTCGAAAGACAGAGAGAGACTCCCACATGGAGTGGGCACACCGCTTAACTAGGGCCGGCAAGGGATGGGTGCAAGCAGCACAAGCAACGACAGTGGAGGATATGTTACAATTGCTTTTAGTGGAACAATTTTTCCAGGGGTTAACCCCGGACTTACTAAACTGGCTGAGGGATCAGAAACCACGCACCTTAACCGACGCAGCCAGGTTGGCAGACGAGTATCAAGATGCCAGAAGGGCACAGCGGGCACAGTCACGGCCCACCACAGGAGTTGCCACTCCACCTCCCACTACTACCACCACCCCAACACTTGTCCCGGTGGTGGGAACTACCAACCCCCTTCACGGTACAACAATACCCGATCCTTTATCCGGTGCCACACGTGCAACCAGCAGGGCCACATGCAGCGAGATTGTCCCAGGAACAAGAACCGCTCCACCTGGAATAGTCCAACCAATTTCTCTGCAAACCGGGCAGCTGTACACTGCTACCAGAGTGAGCCCCGACAACCCCACTTCTGGACCGGGTCCACTGAAGAGCCTCTGGGTACGCTCCACGAAGTCAACCCAATACAGGCGGCTTCGGACAACCGACAAGGGCATCGACAAGGGGTACACGTAGAGGGAAAACGCCTCCAGGGTCTGCGCGACTCTGGGGCCACCATAACTTTGGTTCGTAACCACCTAGTTCCAAAGAACCAGCTCACTGGAGAATATGTGGCAGTCCGGGTGGCAGGGGGAGCCATTTACAAAATTCCTACTGCCAGGGTACATTTGGATTGGGGAGCGGGGTCAGGGAACGTGGAAGTGGGCCTCATGCAGGATTTACCAGCCGATGTCATCTTGGGTAACGACTTGGGGGAGCTGACCTCCGCTTTTGTTTCTCAGCACCCAGCTCAGGAAGGGCTACCCGTTGTAACCCGGCAGCAGGCTCGCACCACCGCATCCTCCTAACACTCTGAGGCTCGGGTAAGCAACAGCCCCACACCCCCTTTCGTCCCATGGGCTCCCCCCTTAGAATTTGGTACTGAAGTAGCCACCGACCCGTCCTTGCAAGTATACCGGGATAGGGTGGCATAGAATCAGGCGGGGTTGGAGGGGGAGAGATATGCTTGGGAGAAAGGATTACTATATAGGTATGCAGAGAAGGTGGTAGAAGGATCAGTACCCATGACCATTACGCAATTGGTTGTTCCTAAAAAGTACAGGCAGGAGTTATTACGTGAGAAAATAAAATATCAGATAAAATCCAATACATTTCAGGAGTGGTATTCCTTTAAATTAGCAATATATGGAGCAGATATTAAATGACTTATAAAAGACAATGATAATTCAGTCTAATACAAAGAGTACAATATTTCACCTTTGGTTTGTTACCATGCATTCATTGAAAAATGTATCTGAATTACGTAGAGAATATGTATAACTTTGTAATAGAGGAGTCTCTATGTGGATACAATAGTCTCTTTCAGAATGACACCGTGGTCTGTGATATGTGAGCTGTTACAACTTTCTCCAGTTATGATCGAAGTGGGATATATTAGCTGAATAAGCTGAATTGGTATAGTACAAAATTATATATATAGGCAAGTTTGCAGTGTAATATATAATTATATGTACTTAATATAAAATATAGTAATAGCTAACAGATCATAGTTAATGATCTGTAGTTTAGTAGATAAGTTCCGTATTGTTCACAGAAAGTGAAACAAAATCCGAGGTGCTGTGTGCATTAAAATCCATTTATTGAATCAAATAAAAGAGAAAAGTTTGTGCACTTACAATAATGCAAAGAGTCTAAGTGCTTAACTGGAATCTGGAGAATCCGGCGTTTGCAGCTTGTTCTTTTCGGTCCGCCGGCAGATGAATGGACCTGTTGATAGCCGCGTGCGTGTCACCGATCTCCTGCGTTCCAAGTGAAGCCTGGTCTTCTTTGCGATAGGTGCCACAAAGTGATAGAGTCCTTACGCGTTTCGTGAGTCTAATGCTCACTTCATCAGAGGATATTGAGCAAGGAGAGCCCACGGGTTTAAATAGCCGATTGCTGCTTTGATTTATGTTAACCCTTTCAGGCTTGTGTTCATACTTGCTCTGGTAATTAAAATTGTTTTGATACTGTACATATACATTCTTTTGATAAATTCAATCTCTAAAGAATATATTTCATCATATAAAAGAAATCCTAAGGAATTATTATAAGAAAAATTATAGGAAAAATGTAACACATCATTAAAAAGTATTTCATTAAAAAATAATAACATTGTTAAAAAATAATAACATCATTAAAAAATAATATAATATAATGATATAACAATATGTTAAAAATGATGTAGCAACAAAGTTTTCATTTTAAAACCTGTCTGTCATAAGTTGCAGACCGCCTGGCAGGGCCCTTATAGGGTGGTGGAACAGAGATGTGACACCACTTATATAATCGGCTCTTGCGTTGGAACTGGAGGGCGCCGCATGCTCCATGTGAACATGATGAAACCTTACCAGGAGCGCTCCGAGGAGGTGACTGCTATATGTGCGCCCAACTCGCATGAGTTTGACAGCCTTCCTCTCCCAGACCTGCTGGGAGACGGTCAGTTGTCAGGAGATTTAGGGGAGGTCGCAGTGGGAGACAGGTTGAGCCCTCAGGAGCGTATTGAGGTACAACAACTGTTAATGGAGAAGCATACCACCTTCTCTAATGTACCTGGATACACTCCTCTGGCCACTCACCGGGTAGAAACCCCAGGACAACTTCCCATGCGCCAGACCCCCTACCGCATCCCGGAAGCGGTGTGGGAAAATATGCGCAAGGAAATCGAGGAGATGCTCCAGCTGGGGATGATTGAACTCTCAGACAGCCCCTGGGCTTCCCCGGTAGTTCTTGTACCAAAGCAGGATGGTACGACCCGTTTTTGTGTGGACTACCGGAGGCTGAACGAGAAGACCGTGTCGGACACCTATCCCATGCCCAGGATAAACGAACTGCTGGACAGGATGGCCAGGGGCCAATACCTCACTACCATTGACTTGTGTAAGGGGTATTGGCAGATTCCCTTGGCCCCGGACGCCATCCCTAAGTCGGCCTTTGTCACCCCATTCGGCTTGTACCAATTTAAGGTCATGCCGTTTGGGATGAAAAACGCCCCGGCTACCTTTCAGCGGATGGTGGACCGCCTCCTAGATGGGTTCCAAGACTATACTTGTGCATATCTAGATGATATTGCCATCTTTAGCAATACCTGGCAGGAACACTTGGCCCATATAGGAGCGGTCCTAGACAGAATTAGGGAAGCAGGTCTAACGCTGAAGCCAGCCAAATGTAGTATAGGGATGGCCGAGGTACAATATCTGGGCCATCGGGTGCGCTGTGGGAAGCAGAAACCAGAACCAGCCAAAGTAGAGGCCATAGCCCAATTGCCCACCCCTAGGACTAAGACTCAGGTATTGGCGTTTTTAGGGACAGCAGGGTATTATCGGAAATTCGTCCCCAAATCCGTTCAGGGGTTCCAGAGGTATGGAAAAGTCTCTTTGGACCGGCCGCACGCCTGTTTGCATGCTCAAAACAGTTCCACAGATTCAGGCTGTGTGGTCGGTCTATTTCTGCCTTGAAAAATAACAAAGTCCCGTTCGAAGGCGGCATTCAAATCATCGATGCACTTCGACTTCTGTCGAAGTGTCGAAGTCAAACGGGATTAACCTTCCTCGATGGTTGTTAGGTGAGTGGTAGTCAATTTCACATGACAAGATGACAAAGTCCCATTCAAACGTGTGTTTGAATCTTCGAATGGGACTTACAGGGAGTGCAGAATTATTAGGCAAATTAGTATTTTGACCACATCATCCTCTTTATGCATGTTGTCTTACTCCAAGCTGTATAGGCTCGAAAGCCTACTACCAATTAAGCATATTAGGTGATGTGCATCTCTGTAATGAGAAGGGGTGTGGTCTATTGACATCAACACCCTATATCAGGTGTGCATAATTATTAGGCAACTTCCTTTCCTTTGGCAAAATGGGTCAAAAGAAGGACTTGACAGGCTCAGAAAAGTCAAAAATAGTGAGATATCTTGCAGAGGGATGCAGCACTCTTAAATTGCAAAGCTTCTGAAGCGTGATCATCGAACAATCAAGCGTTTCATTCAAAATAGTCAACAGGGTCGCAAGAAGCGTGTGGAAAAACCAAGGCGCAAAATAACTGCCCATGAACTGAGAAAAGTCAAGCGTGCAGCTGCCACGATGTCACTTGCCACCAGTTTGGCCATATTTCAGAGCTGCAACATCACTGGAGTGCCCAAAAGCACAAGGTGTGCAATACTCAGAGACATGGCCAAGGAAAGAAAGGCTGAAAGACGACCACCACTGAACAAGACACACAAGCTGAAACGTCAAGACTGGGCCAAGAAATATCTCAAGACTGATTTTTCTAAGGTTTTATGGACTGATGAAATGAGAGTGAGTCTTGATGGGCCAGATGGATGGGCCCGTGGCTGGATTGGTAAAGGGCAGAGAGCTCCAGTCCGACTCAGACGCCAGCATGGTGGAGGTGGAGTACTGGTTTGGGCTGGTATCATCAAAGATGAGCTTGTGGGGCCTTTTTCGGGTTGAGGATGGAGTCAAGCTCAACTCCCAGTCCTACTGCCAGTTCCTGGAAGACACCTTCTTCAAGCAGTGGTACAGGAAGAAGTCTGCATCCTTCAAGAAAAACATGATTTCATGCAGGACAATGCTCCATCACACGCGTCCAAGTACTCCACAGCGTGGCTGGCAAGAAAGGGTATAAAAGAAGAAAATCTAATGACATGGCCTACTTGTTCACCTGATCTCAACCCCATTGAGAACCTGTGGTCCATCATCAAATGTGAGATTTACAAGGAGGGAAAACAGTACACCTCTCTGAACAGTGTCTGGGAGGCTGTGGTTGCTGCTGCGCGCAATGTTGATGGTGAACAGATCAAAACACTGACAGAATCCATGGATGGCAGGCTTTTGAGTGTCCTTGCAAAGAAAGGTGGCTATATTGGTCACTGATTTGTTTTTGTTTTGTTTTTGAATGTCAGAAATGTATATTTGTGAATGTTGAGATGTTATATTGGTTTCACTGGTAATAATAAATAATTGAAATGGGTATATATTTGTTTTTTGTTAAGTTGCCTAATAATTATGCACAGTAATAGTCACCTGCACACACAGATATCCCCCTAACATAGCTATAACTAAAAACAAACTAAAAACTACTTCCAAAAATATTCAGCTTTGATATTAATGAGTTTTTTGGGTTCATTGAGAACATGGTTGTTGTTCAATAATAAAATTAATCCTCAAAAATACAACTTGCCTAATAATTCTGCACTCCCTGTATTGTTGGATAAGCTTTCCAAATGATTTAACATTTTTCGATAAACTTTTAAAATGAAAAATATATATTTAAAAAATATATATTTTAGTATTATATATATATATATATATATATACACATTAGCAGCAGATGTTTCAAATTCTGCAAGTTGCAAGGTGGGGCCTCCAAGGAGCAGATTTGTTGTTCCAGCATATCCCATCAGATTGAGATCTGGGAATTCGGAGACCAAGGCAACACCTTAAACTCTCTGACATGTTCCTCAAACCATTCCTGGACAATTTTTGCAGTGTGGCAGGGTGCATTATACTGCTGAAAGAGGCCACTGCCATCAGGGAACACCATTGCCATGAAGAAATATGCGTGGTCTGCAGCAATCTCTGGGTAGGGGGATCGTGTCATATTAACATTCACAGGACCCCAGGATTCCAAGCAGAACATTTCCCAGAGGACTGCCTCCATCGAACTGCCTGCTTCCCATAGTGCATCCAGCTGCCATCTCCTGCCTGGGTAAACAGAGCACATGCAATTGGCCATCCACCTGAGCAAACAGTGATGCACTGTGTGTTCTGACACCTTTCTATCATGGCCAGAATTATGTTTTTCAGCAATGTGAGCTACAGTAACTCTTCTTCACTCCCAATGTGCATCAGTGATTCTTGGGTGACCATTTCTCTGATGTCGGTTCACCGGTTGTCCTCCCTTGCATCACTTTTGGTAGGTACCAACCACTGCATACCAGGAACTTTCCCCAAGACCTGCCGTATTGGAGATGTTCTGACAAAGTTGTATAGACATCACTATTTGATTGTAGTCACAATCTTTTTGCTTCTCGATTTTTCCAGCTTCCAACACATGAAATTCAAGAACTGACTGTTCACTTACTGCCTAATTTATCCCACCCTTGACAGATGCCATTGTAACAATATAGGGGACGCACCCTATAATTCACCACATGTATTTTTCCTTCTTGTGAGAAGCGCAAACACTCTTTGCCCTACTTTTATAACAATATATATAGTGTTATTCCCTTCAACTGTCAATGGTTTTAATGTTGTGGGTGATCTGTGTATATCCATCGCACATGCAAACAATTCTTTAAACATGCAAATGCATTTATGGCACCAGTATGCATACATGCAAACCCTTCCTCACACACTTTTATCTTCCTTATGCATTTATACAGTCCACACCTGCCAACAATCCCAGCCTACCTTCGAGGACGGAGGTGGTCAGGGAAGAGAGTGGGCATGGGGTAGGTCCTCCTGTTAAAGGGGGTAGATATGTTCATCAAAGGAGGCATATCTGCCAATCAATGGGGTGGCTAGGCTGACTGCACCCTCAAACAGACCATGCACTGAATGCCTGTGGGACAGGTCCCAGGACCTATATTTGCCCCATAATGATACACTCACACACACAATACGTGAAACAAACGCAAACATTCCCATACATAAACATATACTCTCTCCTACACATGCAAATGTATGAACACAATCAATATTACAAACATTCCCCTACACATACATATTATCATACACATACATACCCTCTTACACACTTAAAAAAAAACACTATTACAAATATTCATTAGTTATTTACACATACATATTGCACACTCCCATATGCATGTACAAAAACACACAAACACTTATTTACACGTACATGTACGCTCCTTTAAGAATTATAGGTGCCAACAGTCCTGAGGACTTGTCCCACATTTTGAAATCTACAGAAAGATCTACAGAAAGTCAGCCTGGCCACCCTCCTAAGCGAAAGCCCCCTTTGACTAGCGGGCTATGCCCCCCACACACCAGCTCTCTTCCTTGCTCATCTATGTCCCAGAAGGTGGGCAGGAAATGTTGGCAAGTGTAAATTATTTATGCATATATGCACACTCTCTCAGACATCTTACACTTTCTTATCTCATTACACTATTCATCACTTTCTTATCTCATTACACCGTTGATCAGTTATTCTCAGCATGATTTGTTCCTGAACTTTTGCTATTTTATTTAGCATAAAACATATACATTTGCAAACAATACAATTCTTTAATGTATTAATTTAACATAATAACAATATAATGAGTTCAACTATCTCCCCGATAAGTACTCTAGCCCCATTTTCTTATCAGACTACGGTGATGATGATTATGACCCTGAAGGGTAACCTGTTTGGCATGTGATGTCAGCACACTTCCTGTAAAGGGACCATTTAGATCAGGGGTAGTCAACCTTTTTATACCTACCGCCCACTAATGCATCTTTCTTGATGGTAACATTTCCTTACCACCCATGTGCAGTAACTGAAACTTTTTAGCGCAAGTGTCTTCAGATACTCTGGTAAATAGCCACGAGCATATTTCTTTTTTTTCAGACATTGGTTCTAAATTTGTTGCACAATTTAACAACTACTTTTACGCTTACCACGTTTTGATCTGCACTCCACACAGTGCTTTTTTCTCCCCCTCTTTTCCCTTTAATTACAAACACCCAAAACAACGCTGTATTAGCTGCCAATTTTTATTACGTGTCACCATAAAAAGAAATGTCCCCTTTTTTTGCTACTTTTCCTGCCTTCTTCTTCTTTACCTTCCCTATATTAAATAATAAATCAAGGGTCTCCTTTTCCTTCCTTTACTTATTTTCCTTCTTTCTTTCTTTTATTTTATAAGATAACAAAACTTAAAGGACCACTATAGTGCCAGGAAAACATTTCCTGGCTCTATAGGGTCCTTGGGTCCCCCTCACACTCTGGGTCCCCCTCCCGCCGGGCTCTAGGGTGAGGAAGGGGTTAAATTCCTAACTTTTTCCAGCTCCTCTGTGCTGGGGAATCTCCTCCTTTTTCTCCCGTCATCGGCTGAATCCGCATGCGCAGCAAGAGCATTCTCAATGCTTTCCTATGGACGCTGGCATCTTCTCACTGTGAAAATCAACTCTCTGAAACTGCTATGTTTACAGCAGGCAGGGTTAATCCTAGATGGACCTAGCACCCAGACCACTTCATTAAGCTGAAGTGTTCTGGGTGCCTATAGTGGTCCTTTAACTTATGAGCCACTCTAAACATTGCTTACTGTCCTCCTTTATTTTATCCCCTTTTTTCTATTTTTCTTCCCTTATTTTTTTTTGTAATTTTTTTGATCTTTTCCTTTTTATCTCCTTTTTTTAATGCATTTCTTTTACCTTCCTTATGACAATGTACAAAAGTAAGGCTGAGCTAGTTAGCCCACTTATTATTATTAGCCAACAACAATTCTCTCCTTGTCCTGCCTATAACTTTTCTTTCTCCTATTTTACAACTGCTCTGCTCTGCTTCTGCCTGTCCCTGCTATTGTGCATCAGCTCCCACTCCTCCCCTTCCTTTTCCCACGTGTTACACTCGCTCGCGTTGGCACATTCGTTTGCCATTCTCTTGTTTTCACGCGTTTGTGCGTGTTTGCAATTTCATGTGTGTTTGTGCACTCGCGCCCGTGCCCGTGTTGGGAATATAAAACTGTATTCCTAATGCTAAATTGTTCCAATGCTGCCAGTGTTGAAAGGTTAAAAGAAAACTTTTAACACCTACCTCTTTCCAGCGCTGAGGTCTCTTAGCACTTTCTCTGTGCCTGCATCCTCAAATGTTGGCAATGAGGGAACCTAATGCACACCGAGTGCCGCACTCATATTTGGTCTTTCCCATAGGAAATTATTGCAAAGTGTGAAGACGTCCAGCATAGTTTCACAGAGTTAAACTCCATGAACCACCAGGATGTGCCTCTAGTGGTTGTCTGGTAGACAGCTACTACAGGCAGTCTTAAAGGGTCACTCCAGACCCTTAAATCACTTTATCTTCATGAAAAGCTTTATGTGTGAAGCATGTGTACTAGTATTTTCATTTTGAAAAAAGTACAGATTTTAATAGAAATTAACACTTTTATAAATTAACTTGGTTACACCCCAAGTCTGTCAATCAGACAACTGGTCCTGTTACTTCCTGGTTTGGTCAGCTCAATGGAACTAAACGCAAAAGACAGCAATTGCTCAGAGCACCTGCCTTGCAAATACTTCTCATTGCGTTGCATTGGGAAGTCTGTGATTGAACAGCCACAGTAGAAGGTTAGAAGGGGAGGGCTAGCAAATACAACAGACAGGAGAACTGCAGATTTTGCAAGCTGTTTTTAAATTTATCCCCATAATTAACAGAATTTGTGTTTTCATATGAGGAATATCTACTAAACAGTGACATTTAGTTTATCTTGTATTTGGTCAGTGGGATGTCCCTTTAACCCTGAAATGTAAAATTGCATTTCCTCTGAGAGTGTAATGTCTTATTTTGCAGGGTTAAGGGAACAGGGACACTGCACACAGACTACCTTATCAAGATCCCCCTACACTTCTGCTTATAATTTCTCTTTAAGGGTTTATTGGTTTGAAGTGTCTTATGATGAAAAAAACACATCTTTTTCTATGTCTTTTTTTTCCTTTGAGCCCAAAAGCTCAAGTTTTGGACTCATTTAGTCATTGGCAGATGGGGTGACACTTTGATGGTCATTACAGTGCTGCATTACAGTGCTCACCTACAGTGAAGTTTGTGATTGAATGTGCAAAACTTTTTTTGTTTAATAATGGAAAAGGTCCCTTAGTCTAGTTTGCGTTCATAGAAGCTGATTTGATATATATTCAACCCACTTACTTCTAGACCATGATCTGATATATCCTTCATTGTATCTGAATATTTAATTAAAACAACATTTCTACCATTCATTTTATGTGCATAATGCTGCCAATGGGCTGTTTTCATCCTCTTCATTTGTTTTATTTTCTAAGGCCTGATTTACCTTGAACCAGAAAAGAGGACAAGCATTTAAGTTCTTTGGCCAAATGAGATATGTCTTCTTTTTTATAAGTTTCCTCATCTGGTGATAAGGAGAAAGTCTGTTATTAGGAATATCCTCCAGAAACAACAAGATAAGAACATCAGCATGATCATCAAACAGACGGTAACTTGCCACCTGGATTTCTTTTGAACACCATTCACTCTCTAAGTAGTGACTGCTGATGATGCAGATTGTTTTCCGGCTGCTGTAAATGCTGTCTATTATATTATCAATTATGGGCTTTCCAGGTTCAAAATCTCGATGATGTAGGCAAAGTTTCCACTTGTATGTTTCTTCGAGGTTTGGAACAAGTTGGTTAAAAACCCACTCTTCATCGTGACTATTGTAGGAGATAAAGGCATCATATTGGTAGTTATATTTCTTTTGATGATGCTTCCGGTCGTATAAAAATCCCAGGAAAACGTAATAACCGTAAAGCACTTGCCATCTCCAAAATTTCCATAATGTAAAAATTACCATCATGTTACTTATCAAAAGACATGTGGTGAGAAATAAAATGTAATCAATGTGCAGTGTACAGGCTTCAATATTGAAAGTGAACAGTTTTTCACCCTTACGGGATGGAGGATAAGCACATTCATACTCGTAGAAGTGCAACACTTGGGTTTTTAGATCAGTCTCTACCCAGTTTATAAACCACCTGTTTTCACAACTGCAAGTCAAAGGGTTGCTGCGAAGATCTAGAAATTCAAGAGCAGGTAAGAAATTCAGTTGGTCAGAAGTGAATGTGTTAAGTTGGTTTCCTACAGCCCTTAGAAGAATGAGCTTGGAATAATTTGCTGCCTTCAGAAAGTTCAGTGAATCAAGATTATTTTGGTTGATATGGAGTTCAGTCAAGTTACATAGGTGTTCTAACAATCTTGGATCTATATCTAGAATATGATTGTTACTCATATCCAGTTCTTGTAGGCCAGGAGTGTATGTAAATGTTGCTGGGTCAAAGTTTTTTACAGCTGTGTTGCCAGCATGGAGCTTTCGCAAAGAAACTAAGCCATCAAAGTAATTAGCAGGTATATTTTCCATGCCATTATGGGCCTGGCTGTTGAGGGTTAGTAATTTTAAAGATGTAAGTGCCTGAAATGGTGGAAATTCGAGATTTTTAGAAGACTCATAGTTTAAGTAGTTGTTAAAAAGCTGGAGTTCACAAAGAGATTTCAGGCCTTGAAAAATAGGTTTCTTTAAAGACTTTTGTGTCAACTTGTTGCTACCAAGGAGTAAGGTCTGCAAGTTTTCAAGACCATTAAAGGACCCAGTCTCTATTTCTTCTAACTGATTGTCGATCAGATTTAGAAATTTGAGAGATACCAAATTTTTAAAAGTATCAGATGAAAGAGAACTTAATTTATTTTTCCTCAGCCACAATTCTTCCAGTTTTTTCAGACTGCCTTGAAAAGAGCCAGAGATATCCAAAAGCTGGTTGTCACCTAGGTTCAGGTCTTGCAGAGACCAATTACCTAGAAATGAGGAATAGAACACTGTCATTTTGTTTCCAGATAAATCAAGACTCTTCAGTTTGTCATATGACTTGGAATTGTTTAAAAACACTTCTGATAGATGGTTGTTGCTAAGGTTCATTTTTTTCAATGCACACATGTGAGACAAATCATTTGGTATGGAAGTTAACTTGTTATTGGCTATAGACAGCTGTTGGAGAACACCAAGATGTTCAAAAGTGGATGTTGAAACATGTTGGAACATGTTTTGGGATATATCCAACTCTACTAGTTGGGTACAGTTTTGAAAAGTATACTTCCTAAATTCTTTGTAATTATTACCATGGAGGAGGATAACTTTTAGTTTTGGGTGATGCTGACATAATTCTTGAATAAGAAGACCCGAGTCTGACAGATTTAAATTACCCAAGTTAATTTCTTCCAGAGAGGTGCAAGTAAGACTTTGTATAATGTTGGACACAGCAGCTGGTGGTAGGTTTATTCCTTCCAGATTTAACCGTTTTAACCCACTCAAGAAGCATGGCTCAGTAAGATTCCATAAGACTGTTTTCAGGGTAAATGATAAGTCCAGGTAACTAATGTTCTGTAAGATACCAGTCACTATATTAACAGCAGAAAATGGATTAGTGGAAGCAACAATAGAATGTAGGTTGGTTGAAACGTTTGACAAGTCACTGGTTGCAAAATGCTGTAAGCTATTGTTTGCAATATATATTTCCTCTAAGCTCCATACTTTAAAGGCAGTACCCAAAGCTTCTAATGTATAAAGGCGGTTAGATGAAAGACCAAGAACTTTAAGGTTTGGCAACCCAAAAAATGCATTTGCATCTATAGTTGCTATCTGGTTATCATTCAACAACAATGTGGTGAGATTCTGAAGATCATCAAACATGCCGCTTATTAGTGACTCTATTCTATTGCTGCTCAAGTTCAAGTGTCTTAGTGCGGGCAAGTTCTGAAATGTACGAATACCAATGAAGCTTATTTGATTACTTGAAATGTTCATTTCATGCAAGAATGTAAGATTGTTGAAGTTTTTAGCCTCAATTACTTGAATTTTGTTGTACGAGATGTCAAGGTTCACAGTTCTCTCAGGTAGTTTTTCAGGGACACGAGTTAAACCCCGTTTGTAGCATAGGACCTTTGGGTATTCCCGCCCATGTATATCACAGCCTTGCACTGCATAACTGTCTCCATTTTTAACCAAAGAAAGCAACACAAGCCATGTTAGTAACAAAAGCATGGCCTTAGAGCACATGGCCAGCTAGACAAAAACAGGAAAAATGGGGGAATTAAGGTTAGCTGTCTTGGCAACTGCTACAAAATAAATGTACTGTTTCTACAGAACAGTTATTTCTTTTTGAGAAAGTTAGAACTCTCAGTGGAAAGTACTCTGTAGTAGTACACATTGTAATTGTGAAGATCTAATAACTTTTCAGATGGCATTAAAACATAAAGTCCAGAAGACACATTCTTAGGTTCTGTTTTCAAAAAAAGGTCCAGCTGAAGGGGGAAAACATCTGTGGCAGATGAGAGCTACCAAGAATGCAACCGTTTTTGTATGGGTGCTTGCTGGCTACCAAGAGGTGAGGATCATGCATACTTAAGTACACATGACTTGAGCATTTTCGTAAAATCCTGTTAAGAGACAAAAATAGAAAATTAAAATTTAGAATCTAATACAGCTGTACTTTCTGTTCTTTAGATAAATTATATTTTCAACTTTTCAACATTTGACCATCTCTAAGAAAAGCGCAGACTTCCTCTTGGTTTATCCGAACCACATTGCAGTTGCAGTAATGTTTTGAAATAATGCTTACAAATGTTTTTTTTTTATTTTTATTTCCTGTACAAAAAAAAGCCATGTGTGTTCTTTAAACTAGCTCAGTCATATTTAAAGGGATTCTATAGTGTAAGACATACAAAGTTGTTCTCCTTACACTATAGAGCCCTCTGGTCCCCCCCTCCCACATACCCCCTGCTCATAAAGGGTTAAAAAAAACCTTTGAGTATTCACTCGATTCCATTGCCGATCTCTGGTCAGCGCTCCACCTCCTCTGATGTCATCTGATGGTGGGGAGGGGGCTAATGCGCATGTGCAGCAAGCACTTAGAGCACACAAGGCCCTCCCCATAGGAAAGCATTGCTTCATTGTTTTCCTATGCGGATTTAACTAACTCTGGATGTCCTCATGCAGAGCATGAGGATGTCCAGTGTCAATTAGGCGACCAAAAGTTGCATAGCCAACAGGAAGTGCCTCTAGTGGCTTTCTTATTGAGAGCCACTAGAGGCAGTCTTAGTGCTGCAAAGTAATCATTGCAGTTTCTCGAAAATTGCAATGATTTACATTGCAGTACTAAGTGGGACTGGGACACTGCACCTAGACCAGAGATGAAATGGTCTGGGTGACTATAAAGTCCCTTTAACTTTGGGAAGGCAGAGTTTTTTTTAAGCACTGTGGTACTTGCAGTGCCAGGGTTATTAAGTAGATTGATAAGATATAGGAGATAGTCTCCAGGCCCGGATTAACATAGAGACTGATGGAGTTGCAGCTGCAGGCCAATGCCCATGAAATAGGCCCATTGTTAAATTGCTAAAACAAAAATTTATATATATATATATATATATGTATATATGTATATTCGTTTACTACTCTTCACATGTGCATGGATGGAACAAAATTTGTGTGGACTGGCTGACAATGAAATTAGTTAATGTAAAGATGATTGTGCGCACTATGCAAATGCTTTTGTTGCTTCAGTCTCTCTAATTCTGTTGCATGTTCCCTTTCTTCTACACTTACTACACCTTTTCTCTGTCCCAGACTGTCCAAACAGAAGCTTCTGCCTGCTAGTAAGTAGGTTAGGAGAGGAGTGGACAAGTGAGTACTAGAGGACAATCCTTAGGCGTGCATCATTAGACACATTTATGCCAAGCTCGAGGTGCTGTCGCACAGTATGCCCTTACTTGGCTAACCTGCTTGGCAGGCAGCCTGACATGCATTCACACCAGCCTGGACATCTAATTCCTTGGGCAAATTTCTTGGGGCATGATTGCCCCTTTGGGCAGTTCTGGTTACATGATTCGTGTCAGTGGCCCACCCTTTAACTCCACTCCCTGAAATCCTGCTTCACCGGACACTGCTGTTAGGGGTATGGATTTACTTGAAAGATGAAAGCATAGGGTATGTGTTTTATTGAAGCTATATCATGGAGGTTTCTCTCCAGAACCAAGTCCACTAGATAGATGATGCTTGGGAGGTATGACTGTTTTAGTGTTTTCGGTCGATGCGATTTTATAATTAGGCCCATCATAATTGTCAGCACCAGGCCCCATGGGCTCTTAATTTGGCCCTATCTGTCGCTTACATTTGTTTGTTGGCACTGGTCTGTATAGGTCACTGTTCAAAATTTACACTCGTCTATTAACCATTGGCAAGTGAAAATTCAGCCCCGATGAGTAATTACAATTTTTCACTCGTCTATTAATCATTGGCAAGTGAAAATTTAGCCCTGGTGAGTAAAAATTCACCTTTGATAAGTGTGCCATGGACCCTCCAGGCTTGCAATGTTGAGTATATTTTAATTAAATGTTGAGTTTTAGACAAAGCAATAGGAGAGAGAAAGTTGACAACAGAACCTGCTCTGCATACTCACACTAATCAGCTCACTGTTGCCAGCTGCCTGGCATATATCAGTGTATATTAATGAGGTCCCATGGTAAGAGATATGCAAACGATTGCTGCAAAAACCTTGCAGATAACTTGTGATTGGATGACTTGAGACAAGGTAACTACAGCAGTTAATGAAAATGAATGTAAATAAAGCTCTGGGGCCTGATGGTATTCACCCACAAGTAATTAAGGAGCTAAGTGGGGAAATTTAATTTTTCAAGATTATTTTGTTTCAGGTATTGTACCGGAGGATTGGAGGCAGGCAGATGTTGTTCCTATATTTGAAAAGGTTTCAAAATCCTTGCATGGAAATTATAGACCAGTAAGCTTAACTTCTGTGACTGGGAAAATATTTGAAGGGCTATTAAGGGATAATATTTAGGAATTCACTGGGAAGAACTTTGTTATTAGCAATAATCAACATGGTTTTATGAAACATAGGTCATGTTAAAATAACCTAATTGCATTCTACAAAGAAGTAGAAGTATAGATCAGGGTGTTGCAGTGTGATCTACTTGGATTTTGCCAAGGCATTTGATATGGTTCCTCACAATAGGTTAGTCTTCAAACTAAAAGAAATTGGTCTAGAGGAATATTCTTGTTCTTGGGTAGAATGTTGACTTAAGAAAAGAGTACAACGAGTTGCATTAATGGTAAATTTTCAGACTGCGCAAAAGTGGTAAGTGGTGTCCCTCAGGGTTCTGTTTTGGGACCACTTCTATTTAACATATTTATAAATGATCTTGAAATAGGCATTGAAAGCCATGTTTCAGTGTTTGCAGATGACACAAAAAATTGTAAAGTAATAATGTGAGCAGGATATTGCTTTGCTGCAGAGGGATTTGGATAGATTGGGGACTGGGTACTAAAATGGCAGATGAAATTTAATGTAGAGAAATGCAAAGTTATGTACTTCGGGGTCAAGAATGCACAAGCAACTTACACCCTAAATGGTAGTGAATTAGGGATAACCATACACGAGAAGGATTTGGGAATTTTTATAGACAACAAATTAGGCAGCAATATACACTGTCAATCTGCAGTTGCTAAGGCCAGTAAGGTTTTGTCATGGAATTCTCTGCCTGAAGAGGTGGTTTTATTAGAGTCCATACAGATGTTTAAACTGCAATTGGATAAATACTTGCAAAAACATAACATACAGGGATATAATTTCTAATTAGTGGGGTAAAAGCTGCTTGATCCAAAGAGACATTTGACTGCTATTTTGGGGTCAAGAAGGAATTTTTTCCTAGTTTGTTGCAAAATTGGAAGCGCTTCAGACTAGGTTTTTTGCCTTCTTTTGGATCAGCAGCAAAAACATATGTGAGGAAGGCTGAACTTGATGGATGCAAGTCTCTTTTCAGCTATGTAACTATGTAATATCCAGCCATCCAGCATCCATCAAGACCAGGTCAGTCATCAGACACCTACTGAGATCTGGGCCTGGTGCCCACAAAGACCACAGATCAGCTCCCATGACCTTGAGTCAGCCACCCAGCACCCACAAACCAGGGGCCAGTCAGCAAATATCTGACAGTCTAGTGCCAGCAGTTTAAGACAGCAAATGTCAGTGGGACCATCCCCATACTTTTATTTTTAAATATATTTATAGGATCCCGCTGTAATAGTGATTGTGCCAGGAGTGCCCTAATCCTTTCCTAGTGTAATTTGTCAAACCATTTTAGAATGGTTTGACAATGTACCTGGGTCTCAATGGATGCTTGCAGCTCCAGTCCCTGTTTTCAGATTTTCCTTGATAATCCAGCTAACCCCAATAAGCTAAACAGTGGCATGCAGGACTGCATTAATTGGCTGAGAACGTCTGCAGAGTGCTCTCATCCAAAGAGCGGGGACCTGTAAAATGGTTTTATGGAATATTCTGTGAGGGTACCTGAATTGACACTAAGGAATGGTTCCCCCACAGTGCCTCCCACCAATACTACTAGTTAGAGTATGAGGAGGACATTTCAGTGAATTAGATGGATGAGATCAAATTAGTCTTTCTGTTATGAGAGAGGCTTGCTGAAGTGCTTTATGGTTGAGGAGTAACCCACTTCGAAAGCACTTTATAAAAGTGCCAATTTCAATGAGAAATCATTACTTTTTTAACTAATTAATGAAACACCCTTAATTAATCAGACAGGTAGGTTTGCCTCCTGCTTCCATTAGATCCCCTGTGCTTATGGAAGGGGCAGGCACTCTCTATTTGAGCATACCTGCCTTGCCCCACATACTTCATCCTCAGACATCAGAACAGGCCAGCCTTGTGCCCATGAGGAGTGCATGCATGCACAGATGAAGTTTCAGAGGCTTCTCAATTTTTTTTCTTCCATTTGGGCAGGGGAGTGTCTCTAATCATAAGTTGGCTATCCTTTAGGCAGCACAACATATTTTTCTATCAGCTCGTCTAAACTCGGCAAAGTGACTTTCCCGAGATTGGACTCTGGACCCGCCCCTGATAAGATTATACTACCACATTTATGAAGGTTGCTCACAAATGTGCTTGTTTAGGGACACACAAAAAACAACACCTATTCTACTGCAGCTGCTGTGGATTGCAACTGTCATCAAGCTTAGTTGGGGATGGCTGGATTGTGAACCACTGCTGTTATTTCAGAAACTCCAAGTAATAATCAATGCTAATCAACTGCTTAAAATATAAAAGAAAGAAATGTCAAAATTCAACAGTTTTTGACAAATATTAGAAATCGCCTTTGAATTCACTTTGAGTTCCTGTCAAATCGCACTTTGTGAATCATCCTGGCAAGGTAACCCATTAAACATTCAATTATAGTTAATCTATCCAAAAATGGCAAAGTTTAGGTAGAATAGCAGATTTGGAGAAATTTTCTAGATCACAATTTGATCATTTGGAGGCCAGTTCAGTGTCTAAAGTTAGAATTCAAAGTGAATTTCAAATTTAAGGCAAAATAGTAAAACTAGAAGCTTAGCTGACTTGGATAATTCTATTTTTTTTTTTTTAACCTTGAATTTTAAATTCACTTTGAATTCACACTTCAGCAAATAACTCTGTTAGTGAGAGACCATGAGAGAGTGTGAACAAATAATGCAGACAGTGTATTTGAATAATAATATCTTTACACTATTTCTAAATATTTATGACTTTTTCTTCACTTTTATTCTTTTGTGTTACTTTACTTTTTTAATATTCTTTATATTTTTTTAAAATATTTTTTCAGCAAGACCCCACATTCATACCCTAGATGCCTTGCTTGACGGGGGTACTGCCGCAGTCAACTCCCAGGTAGCAGAGACTCAAGGAGGTAACTGGGGTTAAGGACCACCCCATAACATGTATATTATCTATTATTTTTAGTTAGTGGGACATAATTGTCAGGTTGCAAAAAATAAATTGCCATTGTAATATACTGACAAGAAAGCTGACCCTTTTTCGTCTGCCTTTAAATCTCTTTAGTAAACTTAAATTGCTCATTAACTATTCCATGCACCCCCATTTTAAAAAGAGATCCCTTTCGAAAACTTTTTACATATATATCCCCCACTGTTCTGCCTCTGTTTGCCCATTGCATTTTACTAATGCAGCTGTGTTGAATAATTCATATACTTGGGCATACAGAGCATGCAAAACAACAGTCAGCCTATTGATTTGAGAAATGGGTGTTAGTATTAGCTGCAAAGTTACACCATATGACAGAATAGCACTTTCACCTTTCAATGAGGTCCTTTGAGCTTCTGTAAAAGAGCAGCATATACACAAAATAATCCAGAATTCTGCTCCCACCTTCCAGCTGGGTCCTTCGAGCCTTCTTGGTATGAGTCAGTAATTTACAATCTGAGGCAGAATGCTTGCCTACTTCCCTGTTTACTTGTATTAATATTTGCTAGAAATGACTTTCATGAATAGTAAAGCCACTTAGTGTGTGGATATTGAAATAAGAGTGAAAATCATGGCTTGTTATTTTAAAGGGACACTCCAGGCACCCAGACCACTTCTGCCCATTGGAGTGGTCTGGGTGCCAACTCCCACTAACCTCAACCCTGCAATTGTAATTATTGCAGTTTTTTATAAACTGCAATAATTACCTTGCAGGGTTAACTCCACCTCTAGACAGCCACTAGAGGGCACTTCCTGGTCCTCCTGTGTGAGGACCTCCAGCGTCGTTCAATTCCCCAGAGGAAAGCATTGAAAAGCATTTTCAATGCTTTCCTATGGGGAGCGCTACTGCGCATGCGCAGCATTGCTGCGGATGCACATTAGGTCTCCCCGGCCGGTGGGCGGGATCAGTCTCGCCCACCAGCGGATGTGATGACTGGGAGGAGCGGCGGCGAAAAGAAACCTCTCAGATAAGTGACCTGAAGAGTCTTCATGTTTTCACCCCTTCTGCTATCGGGGATTGGGAGGTAGGAGGGAAAGGGGACCTGATTGTTTTCCTGGCACTAGAGTTTCCCTTTAAGCACCATGGAATGTGGCTGAGGATAGGAGTCACTTACCTTTATGCATAGGAATTCTGCAACATATGGGGATAAAGTAAAGTTTGGGTTCTACGGTCTGAATCCAATGTTCTGTATCCACATGAATGCATTAAAAATGAGAGTTGGTTGATTACGGTCACCTCCGATGTCTGCTCAAAGAAGGAATATTTCTTCACTCTGAAATATGAAAATATTGCTCATGCTTCCTGTTTTAAAAAAAACCTATTTGGACATACATTTTAACCACAGTGTACTTTGATTAATCATTAAAGCGGCACTGTCACCCCACCCTAAAAAATTAGCATTTCATAAAGATAGAATCTTTAATTCTGAAAATGCCAACCCAGTCAAGAGATATGCAGAGACAAAGTAAGGACTATTTTGTCTCTGTATTTCTCCTCCTCATGACACTCATACACTCATGGTAGAGTCTAAGTGCCAATCCCAACAGCCATCACCAATGATAGCTGCAAATAATTGGCCTTGTCTATGGAGACCGCAGGATCCTCCATAGACTTAAATGCAGCAGTGACGTCGCCTCCAGAGCGCCGGATCAAGATGGCCATGCCTCTGAGCGACAGGCTCAGGTAAGTAAATCTCATCTTTGCATGCACCCCCCCAGCCACCGGACCCTTAGCAGCAATGTCACCGTGGGGGCGTCTTTGCGAATTCAGCAAAGTCCTCAGATTGTGACAGTGCCATTTTAAGACA